CGACGTCAATAGGGCTGGACGTCTAGACACAGACCGCAGGGCTCCGTGTAGGGGCGTCTCCCAGGGGAGATCCCGGCAAGAGTGTTCCGATAAGGGGCGGTGCTGAGGGTCCCGTCTCTGGGGTCTGAAGGGCTCCTACAGGTGCAAGCCCAAATGCCCCACCTGGCTGTGCTCAGAAAGGGATACCAAACAGGTGGGATCCCGCCCGTGGAGACAGCTTGGGGTCCTCGAAGGCCTCTTCAAGGTCCCTGCCTCTGGTCCCGGGCCTACCCTATTTAAGCCTGACTGCTGGACTTGACTGTTGTGGGGAGCGGGCTCTTGCCAAGCAACCCTCCGTCCCACCCTGACCCCAAGTGTCCACAAGAGCCTGGACACCGTCTGCTCCGAGGACCTGGGCCCTATCCTGGGGAGGGACACACAGCCCTCACTGCTTGGTGGGCGGCCTGCTGGTCCATCTCCTGGGGGATCCAAGCACCTACCACAATCGTGGGAGCTGTTCCCCTCAAGGCCAGAGGAGGGGAGGGAGGTTCCCAGGCTTAGCAAGGGCCAGGGGAGGCGGGAAGGAGGGAGGAGCGGAGCCGAGGGAGGGGAAGGAAAGGGAGGAGGGAGCAGGGGGAGGGAGGGAAAGGGGGTGGGAGCTCGGGTAAGTGAAAGGGAACACGGCCTCCCAGGGTCTGGGCCCAACGTGGAGGGTCTAAAGCAGATGAAGCACACCAGCAGGAAGTCTGTCTACACCCCCCAGCGGGTCTTGTCTGTACCCGTCCTGCTCCCCAAACTGCTGTGCCAAGCCCCCCCCCCCCGCCGGAGTCCTGGGGAAGCCCAGCCACCCTCCTTCTTCCCAGAGGCCCCGGGGCCCCGTGCTCAGCCGCAGGCCTGGCCAGCGGGGGTGGGGGTGGCCGGGACGAGCACAGGGCAGCCAGTGGATGCTGCTGCGGGCCGCGAACCGGTGCAGAGGGCCCGCGGAGGAGGTGCCCCGGCTGGCCCCGGGGCTCTGTCTGCCCCGCGCCACCTGCCTGGGGTGCGACCTGCGGGCCAGACCTGGCCTGGGCAGAATACGTGCCTCTTCGTCTGCCTCTCATCTCCCCAAATCAGCTGTCTCCTCTCAAAGGTCGGCCTTTATTTGGAGCAAAAAGAAATGTGAAGTTTAATTTTCTCCTTAGGGCGGGGTGGGCGAGGAGGTGTGGCCCCCCTGCCCCATCTCCCCCAAGCCCTGCTCACCCCTGACTCTAACCTACACTCCCTCCTGAAGCGTTTGCTCAGCCTGCCCGCGCACACGGCTACCCCAGCCAGGCGGACGGAAAACTGCCCCGACCGGGCTCCAGCAGCGGGTGCCTGTCATTCGGCTGGTGTCACAGTAGCATGTGGCTCCCCCGGTCCCGGCACTGGGCAGCTCACGTGGGATGGTGGCCGTCTCAGGGTCACCTCCCCTGCGGCCCCACTGAAGGGGCCACGCCGTTCCCCTGGCTTCAGCTGCAGGACAGGGCCGGGCCCGGGCGGCCGGTCCGCGGGACTCAGGACTGTGTGCGGGGCAGGCCCCCTGGGAAGTGGTGCTTCCAGGGCACCAGCCGGAGATCGGGAGGCAGAATTCCTGGCTTTTTGGGAATTCAACGTCATCGGTGACGTACTTCGATGGCAGTGGAAGTGACATTGGCAGGTGGCCACGTGGGTATGTGACGTCGGCAGCACTGTGCTGCGGGCAGCTTCAAGCCCCTGTGCCGGCGGCCCCTCGCCAGTGTGACCCAGGTGTGACAGGCTCACCCCGATGCCGGGGTCAGTCACTCGTCCGCACCCGCACAGACCACACCCGTCCCCCTGCAGAACTGTCCCCTGCAAGCCGAGGGGACCTCCTGGAGAGCATTGGCTGATGACGAGACGGCTGGACAGTCTTCCCCATGTGTGCGGCGCTGAGAAGTGGGCACTCGGGATCACAGTCATGGAGACCTCGGGAGGGCTCTGTGTCCCCTGAGGCAGACAGACAAACCCTGGCTCGCGGCCTTGCAGCCCACAGATTCCTTTCTCATCTTCATCGTCAGGTCTGGGAGGCGAACGTGGAAATGGTTTCTTCTCTCACAATGTGTGACGGCCTTTCCAGACACCCCACTCTGGGGTCAGGGGTGAACCTGAACCCCCCAGGCCTGGCCGGCCTTGCTCTCTCCTCTGGACCTCGAGAGGTCGGGCCCCTGCCGTGGAGGGTGGAGTCCCAGCCCCAGCTGTGAGCTCCCAGGTTATCACTGTCCTCAGGTGGCCCCTGTGCTCGGGGACTGAGCCCCGTGGGCACCATCATGACCACCTCGTCTTGTGCCCCCAGAAGCTGGCACCTCTCTGGGTATCATGCAACACCCATGGCCGAAGTGCCCCTTCGGTCACTTGACCTCGTTAGTGTTTGGTAGGTCGCAGCCGTGTCTCCCCCAGCCCAGGGACGTTCGGGCACAGGCACTCTGGGGAAGTTCCTGTCTCCTCGGGCTTCCTGAGGAGCCTGGGCCGGGCCGCCCGCCTCCCGGACCTCACTGTGTTTCTGTCCAGAGAGGCAGAGGGTGGCTGTGCCCCAGGACATCCGGCTCACTTTCCCTCTGAGTCCGGAAGCTAGTTAGTTCTGGAGCACCGGCACCTTCCCGCCCCACTGCTGCGTGGACGCGGCTCTAACACCAGAGGTGACCCCATGTGGGTGGGAGAGCACCAGCCAGCTCTGGGGTGAGGCTGGCGTCCGGCCCTCGGGTAGGCGCCCCTCCC